TAGCCATATGCAGAAAACAGAAACTGAACCCCTTCCTTACACCTTATACAAATATTAACTCAAGATGGATTAAAGACTTAAACGTAAAACCTAATACCATGAAAAACCCTATAAGATGACCTAGGCAATACCATTCAGGACACAGACATAGGTAAAGACTTCGTGACTAAAACACCAAAAGCAATTGCGACAAAAACCAAAATTGACAAGTGGGATCTAACTAAAACTAAAGAGCTTCAGCACAGAAAAAGAAACTACCATTAGAGTGAACAGGCAACCTACAGAAAGGGAAAAATATTTTGCAATCTACCCACCTGACAGAAGTCTAATAACCAGAATCTACAAGGAACTTAAACAAATTTACAAGAAAAAAATAAAGTAGGTGCAAGTATGAACAGACACTTCTCAAAGAAGACATTTATGCAGCCAGCAAACATTTGAAAAAAGCTCATCATCACTGGTCATTAGAGAAATGCAAGTCAAAACCACAATCAGATACCATCTCAAGCCAGTTAGAATAGCAATTATTAAAAAGTCAGGAAATTACAGATGCTGGAGAGGATGTGGAGAAATAGGAACGCTTTTACACTGTTGGTGGAAGAGTAAATTAGTTCAACCATTGTGGAAGACAGTGTGGCAATCCTCAAGGATCTAGAACCAGAAATACCTTTTGACCCAGCAATCCCATTACTGGGTATATACCCAAAGGATTAGAAATTATTCTGCTATAAAGACAGATGCACATGTATGTTTATTGCAGCACTACTTACAATAGCAAAGACTTGAAACCAACCCAAATGCCCATCGATGATAGACTGGATAAAGAAAATGTGGCACATATACACCATGGAATGCTACACAGCCATAAAAAAGAATGCGTTGATTTCTTTTGCAGGGATGTGGATGAAGTTGGAAACCATCATTCTCAGCAAACTAACACAGGAACAGAAAACCAAACACTGCATGTTCTCACTCATAAGTGGGAGCTGAATAATGAGAACACATGGACACAAGGAGGGGAACATCACACACGGGAGCCTGTTGAAGGGTGGGGGTGGGGGCAAGGGAAGGGGCAGCATTAGGACAAATACCTAGATGATGGGTTGATAGTGCAGCAAACCACCATGGCACATGTATATGTATGTAACAAACCTGCACATTCTGCATATGTATCGCAGAACTTAAAGTAAAAAAAAAAAAAAAAATGTCCTTGAAAAAAACAATAAAAATGATTAATTTCATTAGATCTCTGCCTTTGAGTAAACATCTTTTTATTTTTCTGTATGACTAATTGGGAACTATGCAGAAGCACTTCTGCTACATACTGAAGTACTATGATTGTCTTGAATAAGAGCATTTATGCGACTCTTTGAGGTACAAGCTGGACTAGCCACTTTTTATGTTCATAAAACATTATTTTCACTTGAAAGGACAAATGACAGACAAATTACGGTTATTCAGACATGGGAATTTGGCCTACATTTTCTCAAAAATAAAGTGAGCCTGTCACTTCAAGGAAAACAACTGACAGTATTTGTTGCCAAGGATAAAATTTGAGCTTTCAAGCAAAACCCAGAATTTTAGAAAACTTGCATTCATTACTATGAACTTGATAGCTTTCCAGTCTTAAATACTTTTCTGATGAGCTTCATAGTGATATTAATGGATAAGGCTTTTCATATTGTTTAATTAACTGTCCCAACTCTTGGATAATCTGCATAACTCAGTAAACCAGTATTTTCCAAATGATCGACGTAAGATGTTACACAATCATGCATTTGTAAAAGATCTATTCAAAGTAGAAGGTAAAGCATTGACTTTTAATGTAAGAGTATAAGTTCATTGATATAGTTTCATATTCCACATTGTAATTAACCTTAAAAAAACAACCATTTGTAGAGTTCTGGTGTAGGATCAAAGATTATCTATAATTATTGGAAAAGGTTATTAAAATACTCTTCCCTTTTCCAATTACATATCCATATAAGACAATTTTCTTTGCATACTTCAACCAAAAAAATAGACCACAAGCTGAATGCAGAAACAAGGGCAAATGGGAATCCAGGTGTCTTCTATTAAGCCAGACAGCAAAGACAGTTGCAAAAATGTAAAACATTGATCTTTTTTTTTCACTACACTTATTTTGTTTTGAACAATATAGGTATTTTCAGAAAATATGTTCTTTATGTTAATCTGTCATCAGTTTATTATTTTTAATTTGCTAGGTTTATTTTTAAAATAAATAATATTTTTAAATTTCTCAGTTTTAATTTTTGATATAGTGAACATTGATGGCTATGACCCATATAAATCACTTATGTTAGGATCCTCAAAGATTTTTTAAGCATGTAAAAGGGGTCCTGAGATTTAAAAGCTTGAGACCACTGTCCTAAGATCACTGCAGAAAAAGCAGTGTTTTGGATAACTAATTAATAAAGGACAGGGGGTTTGGCATTTCTCAGTTTGCACTGTTGTAGGGAAGCTTCTCTGGGCACGATGACAGAGACTGGTTATCAAGACAGCATCACCTCTACACTGGCAAAAGGAAATTCATCTATTATCTAAGATTGATAGAAATAACTTTTGAGAAGATTAAATTTTCAAGGTCCTAATTAGTTTCTCCCTGTGCCCTTCTAAATGGCTCCAGTCTCCCTGAGTGTTCACTCCTTTTTCTCCATGGAAGGTTTGGCCCACACTCCCCTCAGTACTGCCCATCATGACTAGGTGAAGGCTAGACATCTGCTTCCCAGGTCATAATGAATGCCATTCCTAGTTCAACAATCAGTACATAGTGCTTGGGAAGGTACCAGGCACCAAGAATCAAAGATAAGCATGTCATCACTTTTGTCCTGGTGGACTTCTCAGTCTGGTGAGAAAGACAAACTTTAAAAGAAATAATTGCAGTATGATATGTTAAGTGCTATTCAGTCAGTACACAGTGACCATGAATTTTCTAAGAAAAAATTAGGATACAATCTGACAGACAATGTATATCAGACATAACGTCTGACAATGGAACAATCCTAGAAGATCTGGAACACACATCTGCCATAGTTATTAAGAAACTCTGAACACTACCACAGAAATTCTGTATAGATTTGCACTTGATTTGGCCAAAAGACCCAAAAACAATGGTTTTTTTTTTTTTTTCCCATCTCCTCCCTAAATTCTGGGAAATGACAGTGGCAGAATAGAAAAGGTCAAGAAGCTTCTTAGGATCACAAAAGATGAGTAATGGGCCCATAACATTTTATTTCCTCTGGTTAGGGGATAGGAGAGGCTGGAGGAAATTTTTTCCATCATGCGTGTTCCAAGTGTTTTCTTTCCCCCAGGCGGAGAGTCCAAGTTTGTTCGCACAGGTCTCCCACATAGCTGATGCAGATCAGGCTGAATCCCAGAGTCAGAAGCATGAACTAGAAAGAGGTTTCTAAGATCCCAAGCCTTGATTGCATGTGGTAACATTAAACAATAGAGCTCTTGATTTGCCAACTAATGTCAGAGTCCCCTCTGGGTGGGCTGCATGGGGATCATGGAGGTTCTGGTCTGGCCTGAGTCTTCTTAAGTCCCAGTCATGAGCCCTTTTCTCCCCCTTTCTTTTGGGACCTGAGCCAAATCCCTCTTTTTAATCTCTCTATCCCATTCCTACTGTTCTTTCTGAAGTGTGGTAACTCCAAAGTAAAATGCACAAGAACAAAACAGACAATGAACAGAAAAAACAGGCTCAGTGCCACACATGGACATCCTGCCACCCACAGAGGGAATGGGCAACATACAACCCAAACAAAAGGCAGGCCTAGGAGCCTGACAAACCCCTTTGGATCTTGGATCCGTTACTTACATCTGACTGTGGGCAAATCATGAAATCTCTCTGATCCTCAGTAAACATATCCACAAAAACATATTACTTTGAGGATTAAACACTATAACATATGTAAAAATGCTTGGTTCACACTAAGTCCACTTTTCTTATAGTCTTCACATTTTTCTGTATGACTATTTGGTTAGTGTCTGTGTCTTGCTGAGTGACTCGAGAATATGGTCACTATTACAACTCTAGAGCTGAGCACAGTGCCTGACACATTAGGCATTTGTTGAGACAATTATATGACAAAGGGGAATTAGTAGGATCTACTTAAAAATGGTAAGTTTGGGGTCTTCTGACAACTCTCATGGCTTTGTATTGGCTATCTTGATAACAGTGTTATGAAAGAATTTGTTGTTGTTGTTGTTGTTTTTTTTTTTTGAGTCAGAGTCTCACTCTGTTGCCCAGGCTGGAGTGCAGTGGTGTGATCATGACTCACTGCAGCCTTAAGCTCCTGGGCTTAAGAACCTCCTGTCTAAGCCTCCTTAGCAGCTAGGACTATAGGCATGCACCACCATGCCTAGCTAATTTTAAAATTTTGCTGTGTTGCCTAGGCTGGTCTCTAACTCCTGGCCTCAAACAATCCTCCCACATCAGCCTCCCAAAGCACTGGGAATACAGGCGTGAGCCACCATGGCTTGCCCCTCATGAAGGGATTTCAAGGTGACATCTGAAGTCAGTAGAAAAAGAGCATACTGACTAATTACCAACACCTAGATAGTAGAGTATTTGTTCACCTTGACCTATAGAATCAAGAGCAGGTCCCTTTTGGCAGCTATTTTTAGCAAGTCTGTCATGGAATTCATGGATAGGGTCATTCCATGGGGATTGAGGTTACCAAATGCCTGACCTGAAGATAAGTAGCATGACTTCAGGAATATTTTTAAAAATCACAAATAAGAAAGCACAATATTATGCAAAGAAGCTGAAAGCATACCCGTATAATGACTGCTTGTCTCGATGAATATACATATAATGTTTGCCTGTCTTGATGAATATACGTACTTGGAATATGCATTTCATGAACCAGCTGATACTAGGGAGCAGATCTGACATGCTGCAGCTAGTACGCCTCACAACCAAATAGAACTTTGATAATGTGCTTTTCCCCAAACCAGAGAGTAGCCACTCTACTCACGAGGGTAATCCTTTGGGTGTGTCTTCTCGGACCAATTCCCATAAAATGTGAGTCTGTACTTGGCAGTCCCACAGGCACAGCAGTCTAAGATGGGTTTGTCAGTCACCCCATCAAATGTGGAATCTGAAACAGTCAGAAAAGTCACCACATTAGAAAGTAAATGTGGGCTGTGTATAAGGTAGTGCTATCACCATCTCATCTTATCCTTGGACTTAGGAAAAGAAGACGCAGTTTTCATTAGTTAATAAGACTTAGAACCAGATCAGTACTTGGGCAATAAAGGATTCTGTATGCCTCTAAGTATGGTAATCTTTTGAAAAAAAAAGAATTCAGAGCTTTTCCTCTAATAACTTGGCAAGATCTGTGGGAACAACAACCAATAGGTTATTTGAGAATATTTAAGATGGGGGCTCTGTTGAAAAATCAGGGGTGAAAATTACTCAATCATCCTTTCTGGATCCTGGTCTCTTTCCCCTTCTCTCCCACAACAGGATTTCTCTAACAAATTTTAAGAGGAATAAATGTGTGTGCTTTCTCTAGGAAATATTCTCTGGGACCAAAATGATAGGACCTGAAGCAATGACTTTGAAGTAGAACAGTGAAAATAAATGGAGAGACGTAAAGAACTACTGAAATGAAAAAAAAAAAAAAATGGCATGCATACATAATCATGTCACTTCTTATCACACTTTCAGAGACTTCACTGGAATGTGTGGGGGACAGAAATGTGTTCATAAGCTCAAGTTTACTGTACTTCTGGGTATAGAAGCAGCCAGGAAAAACTTAAGATTCCCTCTTGGCCCTCATTTTTAGCTGTGAATAGCTGATAAGCGGGGAAAGAGAGATTACATGAATAAATTCAGTATTTCCGATTGTCAAACCCACATCTCTAGATGCACATTGTTGCTTTTAGTATGTTCTGCTTCCTGTAAGATGAAAACAATGACTACGGATGCAACTTGCTTCAATTGCTTTTTTTTTAGTTCTTCCTGTAGTATTAACATAAATGGTTTTTTCTTTGCAGTTGGACATTTATTCTTAAATATTATACAAAGAGCAGTGACAAGGAATATTAAAATCATTGTGAGTCTTAGGAAGAGCATTTTATAAGACTTCCTTTTGGAATTTACTGGGTTGATTTGGTTTAAATGTATAAAATCTGTGATGGACAAAAGTGAATTCTAGGTTGTAGGGTATAGACGAAAGGATGAGACATCATAATAATAAATACAAAATACTGAGTCCTTTTGTGTGTTGATTTCTTTCCATATATTGTCTCATTTGATCCTAACAATGCTAGAAGGTAAGTACTTTTGTTAACCCCACTTTACAGATCAGTAACTTGAGGCAGATTAGGTAACCTGCTCAAGGTCACAGGGTTAGGAATAGGGCAGGCAGAACTGGAGGCCAGGTCTTTTTGGGTCCAGAGCTCACGCCCTTAATCTCTGTGCTACATTACTGCAGGAAAGACCTCCTCTGGATAGGTCTACATAGATAGCAATGAAAGAAAATGTTTTTATTGTTTCTGTGTTGCTTTTCTCAAATGAAGAAAGACACATTGAAAAAACTGGCTCCCAGGCCAGGCGCGGTGGCTCACACTTGTAGTCCCAGCACTTTGGGAGGCCAAGGTGGGCAGATCACGAGGTCAAGAGATCAAGAACATCCTGGCCAACATAGTGAAACCCCGTCTCTACTAAAATACAAAAATTAGCTGGGTATGGTGGTGTACACATATAGTCCCAGGCCAGCTACTCAGGAGGCTGAGGCAAGAAAATTGCTTGAACCCGGGAAGCGGAAGTTGCAGTGAGCAGAGATCACACCACTGTACTTCAGCCTGGCGCCTGAACGAGACTCTGTCTCAAAAAAAAAAAAAAAAAAAAAAGGCTCTCTGCATAGTTCTAGGATTTCTAAATCAGAGATACATGCTGAGGTTTCAATTGTAACTACTAGGGGCTATTAAATGAGGCAGCAATAGTCTCTACAAAAACCAAAAGAGGCCGACTAGTAGCTTTGCCTTATCAAAAGGACTTTCAGATAGAAGTGGTAAACTTAAAGATATTTCTGAGGGTTCAAAGGAATGCACTTATAATAAACCTTTTGGATTTTCAAAGGAAAATAAGCTTCCATTTGAAAAATAAATTTTTAAGTTTGAAAATAAAAACAGACATAACTGTTTTCCTACTGAGGAAAAGCTATTGAAAATGAATCAGGCTTTCAAAGGGCAGTGATAAGAATCGTCCACTTACTCCTAACCACAGCAGGGCCTACCAATCATGAGTAATTTCAGGCTATGGAGCATCTCCAGAGCTGCCCTCTCTCCCCATTTTTACTCCAAATCCACTGGCTTCCTTTTGCAACTCTCTTTCTGTATTCTCTCTCTTGCCTTTTTCTTTTTTTTCTCATTATTTCTTTTTTGTTGACATTTTCCTCCTTTCCCTGTGTTTTCCTTCATTTTCCTTCTTTTTGTCTCTTTCCTTTGTTAGTGACATGGTATTAAAGTATGTGTATGCAGGGCTGGGCATAGTGGCTCATGCCTGTAATCCCAGCACTTTGGAAGGCAGAGGTGGGTGAATCACTTGAGATCAGGAGCTCCAGATCAGCCTGGCCAACACGGCAAATCTCTATTTAGTTCTTATTTGTGAGACAGAGATCTTTCCATCTTTAGTAGAGATGAAACCCCATTTGTACTAAAAATACAAAAATTAGCCAGGCAAGGTGGCATGTGCCTGTAATCCCAACTGCTTGGGAGGCTGAGGCAGGAGAATCGCTTGATCTGAGAGGTGGAGGTTGCAGCGAGCCAAGGTCATGCCACTGTACTCCAGCCGGGGTGACAGAGTAAAACTCTGTCTCAAAAACATTAAAAAATAAAAAATAAAGTATGTGTATGCATATGTTTGTTACAGGTCACTTTTTTGAATATTTTGTTTCTCTGTTCTTAATTGGAAGTAATTTATTGTTTAACTTGCTTTTTAAAAGTATTGATTGCCTTTGCTTTTAATCTGTGCAGCTCTTAATTTTTTCCCTATGGATTAATGACTTAAATTAGAGGAAAATAATAAATACAAGTTTTTCTCTTCCCTTCCTTGATAGATTTGATTGGACTCAACAAGGAAGCAAAGAACATAGAGAACTTAATGAAAGAGCTAGCGATAATTGAGCATACATTTTAAAAAGTTCCTTTGTTCTACGTTTACATTTTCTTAACATGCTTCCCGATTCCCTTTGCTAACTGATGAATTTCCTCATGGGTCTACCATTTCTGGGGAGCATCTACAAGGACACCTAATCATCCTACAGCCCAGGTGCTGCTGAGCTTTTTTTTTTTTTTGTCCATTAAGTTGCCATCGACAAGTGGTCTTTGCATACGGATGCATGATTAGTTACTTTGATAGGATCTCTGTCTCACAAGTGAGAACTAAATAGAGATTTGCCATGCCATTTTATTGACACTGTATCTAGATTATTTTAGCATATTCACAGCTCAGACAAGGCTTCACACAAGAATTGAGACTTTGGGAAGTGCACATTTGTTAATGATTGCTGTCAGAACACGTGGGTGTCAGGGAAGTGTCTCCTAAGAACCCTCAGCTCCTGGAAATAAGGCTGTCCCCTGACAGTCAAACTAACAAAACCATACCACAGTGCCTGTGGGAGAAGACCTAGGGGTGTCTTCTAAATATGTGATCCAAAACACCTACAACTCCATGGCAGCACCTGGATCTCATCACATGGAACTATAGCAGGGATGGGACTGTCATTGAGGAACCAAGAGCTTAATAAGTGGAGATGCTCCATTTAGAGAAAGGTTGAGTGAACTTGCAGGCAGCTGAACACACAAAAAAGAAAATCCACAGAAGCCACATGTGGTGGTGCCCTTCTGGAAGCTAATGGTGGCCTCTCTGGACTGCAAATTCCAGCTCTCCAGCCCCTCTGGGAGGTATGACCCTAATGCAAGGCATCCGACTCTCTCTTCTTTGCTATTGCCATGTTCCCCAAGCAATCCCAAACAGGGGACCTAGCTTTTGCTCAGCTCATCTACAGGGGGACAATGCATTGATCTGTCAAAGGCAATGATAAGAACTATTGAACTGGATGAAGTTGTTTTGATAGAAAGCAATGGTTAAGGGCACTGGCTCCTAACTTCAAACCCTGCCTTCCACCACTAGCTCTATGATGCTGAGAAAGCTATTTAAACTTTTTGTGTCAGGTTCCTCATCTATAAAATAAAAATAATAATCTTTACCATATAGGGCTGTTGTGCAGATTACAAAATTAATCTATATAAAGTGCTTTGAATAGTTCTTGCCATGTAGCAAAGCACTAAAAAATTATTAGCTATTATTATTGTTTTCCCAGAAGACCTTTATCAACCTTTCTTTTTCTTAATAGCTTATAATTTGCTGTAGTTGGAGAGGATTATTTCTTCTCAAAAGACTAATTGCTCTAAATGCAAATAGAAATTCTGCAAAAATAAATAGAAATGAGATAGTTATGCTGCATAAATATAGAATATTTTTATTTTTATTTAGTTATCTAGCAACTTCTAAAAACATTCAGATGTTTAAGGTCTGAATTCTTTTTTTACAGATTAATGAATAAGCTTTCAGATATAGATAACAAGAGCTATCTATTCTACAGATAACATTTACTATGTGTCAATGAGGTACTGTACTATTTTATGTGTTTAAGTCACACGGCTAGAAAGGGCAGGGGCAGATTCAAACCTGGGCCTGGTTTAAACTCAGGCCTCTGCTTTATCCTCCCCAGCCTAGTTAGTCTCTACGTGCTTTGTTAGGATACCTTCAACCTAAGGAGAGGGGGCTGATGAACTTGCAAATGTAAGGACTAGATCCTTGAGTGTGGTGATCTCACAAGGTCAACGCCCCCTTGGCATCCCCATCCCCTGCTGGTCTTCTCTGGAGAAAATCCCCCCATATTGTCTGGGTGCCATACAAGATCCTGCTGGGGACTTTTTCCAAAGAACCATTATAGACTTTTTAAAGGTACACAATTGTACATTCCTTAATTAAGTCCTGTGAATTATTCCAAAGAACCTCTTCAGAATAATCACTGTTTCACAAAAATAAGACGACGACACCTATATAAGGTACATTATCTCCTACCCAGGGAATCAAGCTGAGTAATTAGGGCTTAAGGCGGATCCAATTATCCACAGCACACAGCCAGATTAAAAATCAGTGCTACGTGAGACAGCAAGAACCCAGAGGAACTCACGAAGTCCAGTGGCCTCCTGCAGCAGGCTTGTGCAGGAGGAGCTGCCTTCCACGTATCTGCCTCTGCCCCTCCCCTTCCCCCTCCCCCTCCCCCTCCCCTTCCCCCTCCCCCCCTCACCCCGCCAGCCCGCCAGCATCTTACCTTGTTCACAAAGTTTCTTGGTCAGAGAGCCCTCATCTTGAAAGTAAATAATGCGTTTTTGTACGATGCTGGCCCTGTGGAGAAAGAAGACCCAAGCACAGTGGTGAGGAGGACAGGAAGGCAGGTTTGGGGGATCAGTCAGACCTGGTCCCTGCTTGGCTTTATGGGTTTGAGTGAATCATCCCAACCCCCTGTGTCTCAGTCTCACGCCTGTAATCCAAGCACTTTGGAGGCCAAGGCGGGAGGATCACCTGAGGTCGGGAGTTCAAGACCAGCCTGACCAACATGGTAAAACCCAGTCTTAAAAAAAAAAAAAAAAAGAAAGAAAATTAACATAAGAGCAATACCTACTTTATGGATTGTGGTGAGAACTAAGTTGGAAAATGTATGTCAAGAGATTAACACCTATCTAGAAACCACTGCATTTAATGTTAGTTACTAAGTTGTTTTTGGTGGTAAGGTTATTGTGAAGGTAAGAAAGTGAACTAACAGTATTTTAATAACTTTTCTCAATGGTTCATTTTACTCTGCTTTTCATGTTAAACTATTGAGGCCATTTATAGATCAACCAAATTGAAATCACAGAAGCATGTCAAATCCTCTTTGTGAAGGGGGAAAAGGAATTTAAAAATACGTTTTGATTTGTTCTGAAAATGTCATTCTATATCTTTCTTGAAAGTCTAGACAAAACTGTCTCCTACATTCTGAACAAAGACAACTTCAGCTGTTATATCTCCCTCTTAAACATGTCAAATGCAGGATCTTAGAATTTAGAAAAAATATATTGAGGTTGAAAAATGACACTTTTGGCCAGCACATATTTTTGCTTTAATCTGGGATTGCACAGACATGCTTCTTTTATTTTGACCCATTCTGTTATTTATTTTCAGCTGGCCTTGAAGAGATTGAATCCTGAAACCCACAGTTCCAGTAATTTGAAAGTTTTCAACATTTAAAACTGAGAAAATGTGAAAGGATCTTGGGCCACTTCTATTGATAGTCTTCAGCAATGCCACTCAGTCAAAAGGTAATTTTCACTTCCATTCACCCTATTTAACAGATATAGGGATCCCTTGACTCTGTTATAGCGGACCACGCTGAAGGAGTGTTAAAGTCAGATGATCTGCACTGTCTCACATGATCCCAGACCCAGGAATGGGGCCATGTGTGCATAGATCCACAGAGATGGAGGCAACCTTCCTAATGGTCTGGACCTAGGCCATGATGACTTTCCAAAGAAACGTCTACTCTATATCCAGTCTTGCACAAAATAATACAATTCTGACTAGCTTACAATGTCTTTTACAGTCATTTCTTAACCAAGAGAGACAAGATGTTGAAATAAATGAATGAAATATGCTTCCTGTCTACACAAAGCTACTTTGATCATTCTTTTGACCACGATGCAAAAGAAAGTTTCCTCAGGCCAAGAGGAAAACAGTTTTCCTCACCCCAAAGCCAAATAATGAAACCTTTCGTTAGTCAGGGCATCCCATCATCTCTAACAGTGCTTTTCAGTGCTTTCTACTCTGTGCCTCCAGGACCCCTGTGGTGGGGAAGGGGCAGGCTTGGTGGGAAGTACCCCAGGCCCCACATTCCTGCTTCAACCAAAGGCTCCATCCTAATTTCAACCACAACGGCCTCCTTTCCCAATTTGTCTTCCTGTTATATTTACTGGTGTATTTTCAACAAATGGTGGTCTGCTTAGGGGCCTGAGGGAGGTGCCAGGACGCTGTCATAAACAAGCCAGATGGGGCCATACTTCCCATTCTCAAAGTTTGCAGCATAGAAAGAGAAAGGATCAAACAACCAAACCTGTAGCTGATCATTTAACACAACCTTGATTAAAGGCCGCAAGGAAGTCCACAGAGTGCAGGAGAGCATAGAATAGAGTGTCCTGACCATGCTGAGAAACCCTTAGCCAAAAAAGGGTGGCAGAGCTGTGGTTTGAAATGGCGAACTAAGAGCTAACTAGGCAAGTGGAAGGGAGGAGTCAGAGAGAGGGCATCCCTTATAAAGTTCTTCAGGAGGGGAGGGACATGGGCTTGTGAGAGGACCTACGAGTGGTAAGTCAAGGAGGTAGTACAGGTTACACATGCCTAATCTGAAAATCCAAAATCTGAAATGCTCCAAAATCCAGAACTTTTCAGATGCTGGCATGACACTACAATGGAAAATTCCACGCCTGACCTCATGTATCAGGTCACATTAAAACATGGATTGATAGCACATAAATTTAGGGTTAGGAACGATGGTGATGCCAAACAACCACAAACTGTTCACATGGCAGGCTGCAGTGGTGACACCTTTGCTTTCTGATGGCTCAATGTTTGTGTAAAACACAAACTTGTTTTATGCACAAAATTATTAAGAAGAATGTATAACATTAGCTTCAGGATACACACACACACACACACACACACACACACACACACGCCTATTCATGTATGTGTTTGAAACGTACATGAATTTTGTGTTTAGACTTGGGTCCCCATCCCAAGATATCTCATTGTGTATATGCGAATATTCCAAAATCCGAAAAAAAAAATCACAAATCCAAAACATTTCTGGTCTCAAGCACTTCGGATAAGGAATACTCAACCTGTATGAGATGAGCTGGGAAGGTGGGTAGGGCCACATTACCCAGAGCCAGCAGGGAGATGGCATTTCACTCCAACTTTAATGAGATATCTTTGAAGAGTGTGCCTGGAGGACTGAGATGATAAGATCTGCTCTTTTAAAGGAGCACTTGGGACACAGTAGAAACCAGTTGGTGTGTGGCTGCAGTGGACGGAGCTCCCATCAAAATCAAGTTTTGATTCCATAAAGCTCTCTTGCTAAAAACATCTGAAAATCAGTCATCTACAGGATAAAATACAAACTTATCACATTCAAGGCTCTTTATAATTTTCCCCAAAGATGTCCCGCCTTCAGCTGTCATCACTTTGTGCCCAGCTTTCTGGGTTGCAGACTTTGGATGTTTATTCTCTTTGTGTGAACACCTCTTCCATTAGACCAGGCCTTTTGGCTGGTCTACAACAAGACCCTACTTCTGTTGCTTCCTCTCCCAGAATCACCCATGCCGGCCTTTGCTTGCCTCTGTAATAAGTACTCAGAATCTTCCTCCTACTGTAAAAGGGGGGTAATGGCAAAGCCTATAATTTAAAAGCATGATCATGCACAGAAAAGTAATTGCCTTCCAATTTTTGAAATATATGATTATAAAAATTTGGGGGGACTAGAGAAGGAAAACATGTATTCCTATAAGATGTCTCAGCTTCCTCAATGTTCTATAAAGTCTAAGGTAGCCCATTTCCTCTTTTTAATAATTGTTGTCATTTCTGAGCCCTTACTATATGCTAGCCTGCACTAAGGAGGCATTTTATGTATATTATCACCTTATATAACATATGCTTTATACATGACAGGTTCTCAAATTTTTCATCCAAAACCCTTGGTCTGGATGTGTTTTTGAATTCAGAAATTTTTAGATATCAGAAAGAATATACATATACCATTAATACCCCTATAATCAAACACATCAATATTCTACAGCAAAATGTTAGATTATGGGGCCAGGTGCTGTGGCTCAAGCTGGTAATCCCAGCACTTTGGGAAGCCAAAATGGGTGGATCACTTGAGGTCAGGAGTTCGAGACCAGCCTGGCCAAGATGGTGAAACACCATCTCTACTAAAAATTGAAAAATTAGCTAAGTGAGGTGGCCCATGCCTGTAATCCCAGTGACTTGAGATTCTGAGGCAGGAGAATCGCTTGAACTCAGGAGGAGGAGGTTGCAGTAAGCCAAGATTGTGCCACTGTACTCCAGCTTGGATGACAGAGGGAAAAAAAAAAGTTAGATTATGTTTGAATTTCATTTATCCTCCCTAAGAGTACTGCTGCTGCCTACTCACTTTTCTGTCTTCTGTGCTAGATTCCAAGATTCGTACCTTACTTATTTCTCTAAATGTTAGTATCATTCTCCTAACGTTCTAGGAGAAGAAGCAGGGTTTGGGGACAGGAGAGAATCTGAGGTTAATGTGGCTTAGGATGTGATGGTGGTCAGTCTAGTGGGTAGTTAGACATAGGGCATTGTAACTCTGCAGAGCTGTGAGGGAATGGGAGTGTGGATGTGGGAGTTGCTGGCCTGGGTAAGAGTCAAAGCACTTGGAGTGGCTGATGTCACCCAGCGAAAGTGTGCAGAGTGAGAATGAGAGTCTAACCCAGCCCAGAACTCCAAGGAAGACCAGCATTCACCTACAGAGATGCCAACAGAGACCAGGACTTTGGTATACTTGGTTGCAGAAGTTTCTTTTTATTCCTCATTTGGACAACTCCTGAGAGAATTTTATATTCTGAGAAAATGCATTTTACTTTGAGTCTGTTCCCATCAAAACTATAAAATTCAGCTGAGGTTTATAAATCATATTATCGTTCAGAAAAATAATAGCTTTACAAGATGAGAAAGCTGTTAGTAAGAACTCCCTTAGCATTTCAAAATGACAAATTTCTCCCATTCTGTGTTGCAATTTGGCAGTACTGTTGCATAGCATTTATATACTGAATGCTCTCTTATCATGAGAGAGCACGTTAAGGAAATCTAAATTAAATTTCTCAGTATGTTAGCTTCTCAAACTTTAGAATATGGAGGTTCTAAATAACTCACTAATCATTTCAAAAGTTCTCTTTTCAACCTGAAGTGAACATTTCCGAAAATGCCATCCTGACTCTCTTAGGGGCTCAGCCCTTTTCTGTCTGGAGGGTTTACTCATTTACTGTTCATTTTCCTGGGGAATTGCCTGCTGGGGTGAAGTTAGAGGTTGGTAAATTGTGGGTTTGCTGTCTAGTACTAAAAGGTGCTGGGATCCCTATTCCCAGGGAGAGGGAGAGCTTAGAAACTGAAGTACTTGGGAGAGATCAAGTCATTAAATGATTTTAAAAAATATACCTGGATCCTCAGGGAAAGAGTCACTGCCATGTAGAGACAACTCATGTAAGCTCCTACTGCACTGTGTTGCGCACAGTAAATATCCAGTATGTGGTGGTCATTTTATTGCTGCCAACCCCTAATTCCCC